CTCTCGGGCGAGCTTCCAAGAATGGAATCTCTAATTTAATTTGGAAACTTCGGCTTTCGGGAAGCTTCTGTCATCTTCGCTATCACTAGCTGAGAATATTCCCGTCGAACCTACACAGAAGTATCTGTGACCACCTTGGAAACAATGACTCGGTCGACTTGTAAAGTGTAGACGAACACTACAGAGCGACCTCCTCCGATGAGCCCCGTCTCAACGATCTCCTGTAAAAACAAGGAGAAACATCCGAAGAGGCCCGAGGACATCCTCACGAAGAGATTCACGACGAGGAGGATCCGTATGATGATTCTCCGAACCTGTCGTTTGATCAATTCGCGATACATGATCATTCGTTCCCGCTCCCGATGATCAAGCCTGCGACGGCAGAGCCTTGACGAAAAAATCATCCCATCCGGATCGGGACCCGATACGGGGATCCCATAGACTCCCATCAACTTATATTAGGCTCGTCTCATAGTCCAAGTCCCGGCGGACAGAGAATGAATGATTGGAAACGAAGGAGGGCATGTATGGCCGTATCAGAATCTATCGAGAGGGGAATGTTCCCTCCGAGAGAGTAAGTCAAAATAGCAGTCGATCACATTCTGTCAACAGGTCGGCTGGAAGATTCTTCGGAAATGTTCCTTGTATGTATTCTAGCATTCGTGTCTACTTTGCTCTCGTTCAGGAGGGAGAAGCCGAGAGTCTGTCTTATCCTCTCTTGTCCCCGCTGGCTCCGACCGCTGGAACCTTGTTTTCTGATTATGCGAGCCGATCCATGTGTGTGCATCAACGGATTGCGAACACAGCACCGATCTCGCCCTTCAGCCAATCGACAGGATTAGTGTGTTGTGGCGGGAAAAAACTTGGCCCTCAATGGCACTCAGGGTCGTTTGATTTCAATTACGGAGCACATTTTCCCGATGTTCCCACAACCACGATTTTTCTGACTGGAAGTCCGTCGGCAGCGTGCGAAATCTCGCCATCGAAGTCATGCTGATCAAGGACGACCCACGATCGAAATGTAGAGCGATCCGATGCCGGTCCTGTCAACAATAGAGAACGCATTAGTTTCGCGTAGAATAGCCGTTGAGAAAGTCGCTGGTGGTCTCTCTCACTTTCGTTTGCTCAACAAGCATGAGTACGGTTATTGAGCGGCGGCAGCGGTGGCGGAGTCGCGAGACGGGCTGCTGCTCCCTTGCTCGGAACTCATTTAGAGATGATGTTCGCGCACCAAGTTCAAGCTTGATATTCTTCAAACAGAGCGGACCAGCAGTCAAATATCTTTCACCCCGGAGACGACAAGACTGACAGAACGATATATGGAAAGACAGCCGGCGACCGACCGACCGACAACGGGCGGAGAGTCCGCCGGCCGACCACTCACCCAGACATATGGACAGACGGACGGAAGGACCGACAGATCGGCAGCCAGCTCGCTAGTTCGCGGACAGATACCAAAGAGGCCTTTCCTGTCGAGCCCGCAGCCTCTCCGCTCAGGAGGAACACCCAGCCAGCGGGCCCGCAGACAGGCAATGAGGCAGGCTGGTAAGCGACGGCGGGAAAAAATCTTCTCAGGTATAAAAATCACGAAGGAATATCACCCACACCCTGTACTCGCCAGCTCTGCTCTGAAGCGGGCCTGAAAGTTCAAGTAGTCGGGCTAGAGCTCGGAATCACTTTCCGTCGTCCACAGCAATAGATGAAGCTGTTCTCAGGCTGTCCTCCATTCCGACATGTAGCAATGTCTTCTGGAGACACGAAACATGAGCGACAATAGGATTTGTCCCCTGGCGAATATTTTGAGGAGACATCGCTCTTCCGAATGCGCCGTTTCGCCTGCGACGATCAGTCGACAGCGAGGAATGATTTTCCGGACGACTCCATGAGTGACCGAGCGACGATGAATCCGTGAACCTCTGTATCGATTACCCACTCAGTCTGCTACGCGAGCTGTCGGACCGCATAATTCTGCTGAGAAGATGACTCGTCAATCAAAAGTCCGCCCCTTCATCGAACGGTGGCTGCCAGTGAGACGGGAATCACGGTCAGTATCAAGCGAAGCGCTAGTGAAGTGTCAATCAGGTCCGCTTGTATCCTCACGCAGCTTGACTGATTGTTGCGCAGGCGAGCGAGGCTCATCGGGGAGACGAAAGAAGAGGCTACAATCTACCACACGATGATGAGCTAACGCAACCGTCGGAGAACACACCCGTTGGGGACCGTGAACTGACCATGCGTAGATCCAGGAAGAGACTCGGGAGTCTGTCTTCCGGTAAATATTTCCTTTGACGTGGCAGCCATCGATGTGGAGGAGCTGCGTTTCCTTAGGTTTTCTCTTCCAGTTCGTAATTTGTATACATGTGAGTCCCCTGTCGTCGAGAGGGGTGTCGTCGAGACGGAAATGCAGTGCGGAGAGGTCCCCGAGCCGCGACTCGGTCATGCGATGCTCGGGAAGACGGTCGACGACGACTTCGAGCGAGGAATATTTCGACGGGCGTGGTATTCCTAAAAAGGTACTAAGTGGAGAGGCTGGAGGACGACAAGGAGATTGAGGAGGAAAGTGGACTTAGCATGCAGAGTAATTGAAAAGTTCTTCCGTACTGCGGCGTTCTTCACTGCCTTCCTGCCGAGTCGGTTGGTTGGCTGGCTGGCTGGCCCACTGCCCAGTCGCACACCCTTCACGCTACGAACGAAATTAGTTTTCGTTCAAGTAGACTGCGGAAGACAGCTTCTCGCCTCTTCGTCGGAGGGACGGCGCGCCGCTCAGCTCGGAAAACGTCACGACTCTATGAAATCTCGAGACAGTCAGATTATGACGCATCAGGCGAATGCTCGGGTCATCAAGTCTTTCTCTCTCTCTCTCTCGTCGGTCTCGGGAGTGGGAGTCTCGAGGACGTGAATGCAATAGTTTTTATTCAAAGTTCCAAGATTAACAATCGGGGTGCTCGCTCCGCAGATCCCTCGAGACTCTTACGCTGCTGAGGGTTTTCTTTTACGAGCAACGGAAATAATGACGTATTCGGATAGCTGCTCGGTTTCGGCGGTGGGAGCGCAGTTTTCGCAATAATAGATTTACGTCTCGTGGGTCACACGAGCTCGATTCGATCTCTTCCTGAGCTCATGTCAGAGATTTTATTCCACCGAGAGAAATCTGGAAGAGGCTCGAAATTTCCAGAAAATAGGATGATGACGATCTCTCGAGAAGGCACTCGCAAGCATGGGTCGGTGTGGGAGGAGCGAGGATTCCGAGCAAAGGGTGAAAGTCTTCGAATCCCTCTGCTCGCAGATCATCCGAATCAGCCTGGCTGAGTGAGCCACGCACATCGAGACTTCCGCAGGTCCCATTCAGCAATGGGTCGAGTTCATTGATGGCAAGTTTCCACTTCATCTACTCAGAGGATTCGCGGAATCCAATCAGGCCGAGTGGGGAGAGGACGCAGTTTTTCCGAGAACCTACGAGCTGCCTCCCGTGTATTCGGTATGAGTCTCGATTTAGGTATTACATTTCATCAAAGGATCCCAGTTCTCCCGAGAGGCTTTTGTCGCTACGACTTCCATCACGGCTGACTTAGGAACGATCGGTGAGACCGTCTGATCGGACCAATGGAACGACTGAAAATCCGGCATCGCTGCGTTCCGAATTCCGACGTCTACGGTGCAGTTCCCATCGAGGCCGAAATCGCTAAGAATCGATGAAGTGATATTTCCAGTGCTGGGGTTCAGAGTCCAGCCACACAAAGGGTCTGTGGAGCGTTCCACAATAAGTTATAATCGATCATTTAATTTTCTGTTTTCGCGTTTCATTTCTCATTTGGCGGAGCCGAACGAGAGCGAATCCCACAAGCAGGAGGATGGGAGTGCTGTCGAAGAAGGAAAATTTTCGAACGCCCTTGTCGGGGGGAAGGGCCTAATCCTTCTGATGTCAGAGCACATCATCCCAAAAGCTCTAGAATTGCTGGAAAGTTGGATGATAGAGTCGGCGCATGCGAGCGATCGTGCGTGCTTGGCTGCGAGAGTGTAGAGTGTGATTCTTCCTCGGGGCCCAAGAGCGGAGAGGGTCGTAGTGTCCCTCTCCCGGCGGCCTCGATCTCTCCTCCGACCAACCCGGGTTCAGAGATGCTCTTCGCGCCACCGAAGAAAAACCACCAAAAGGCTGTCTGTTGGAAATTGTTCGACAATACGTTTTTTTTTTATATTGAAACGTCACATCAGTCATACGGGACTCAAATGCTTCGAGACAGTGGCCACTCAGTGATACTCTATTGGAATATGTGTCGGAATTAAGTTTTCCCCGGTTTCGCTTATTCACGAGTGCTCATCGGCGTCAACGTTGCCGCCGTCACCGGGCTCGCCGGAAGAGTCGGCGGTTACCTGTGTCGGAAGCGTCTCCGATCCTCTGATAGCCTCAGCGGATTGGGATCGGAGGAATTCCACCGATTCTCAAGAGGCTGTGTGGTGCGAAGCAACTCTCGTGAACTCTCACCGCATCTGCCCATTTGTCGAGTAGGGAATCAGCTTCGGTGTCGGGTCGTGCTCGGCCGTGAGACACTTTGCACAATCGTCTGTCAGTTTCGGTAGCCCAACGTGCTACTGTTGTCATCCTCGTTCACTTGCCCTGCGCATCGCTTCACCTTCTCCTTTCGTCGTTGTCGGTATCAACGTCGCGTCGCCAACGAGCCGCGCCGACTCGAGAGAGAAAGCATCGAGACTCGAAAGCCGCTTGTAGATCGGCCGCGACCGCCGCCGCTGCTGCTGCCGCCTAGAAATGTCCGAACGATGTCCGTGGCGATGGGAGAGCGCTATGAGCTGCGGAACGTAAATCGCGCGGACCTCAGGCCAACATCGACGTTGTCGCCGCTGATCCTACCGCTGGTGTTGTCGTTGCCGCCGGCGCCGAATTCAACAGCGTCACCTTGATGCAAACGGCAGCCAGGAAACGTTGAGACGAGCGAGCCAGCGGCGGACGAACGTCGAGTCGCTTCGCGATGTTGGTGCTCCGCGCGCTATTGTGCGTTCTCGTGGTCACGGTACCCGTGAGGGCGACGGGCAGGCTGAGCTCCAGGACGGTCACAACAAAGTACGGGGCCCTGAAAGGCTCGATCGTGAGCCTGGAAGGTGGTCTCCGTCACAGCCTGCAGCCGGTCGAAGTGTTCCTCGGGGTACCGTACGCCTCCTCACCCACGGGCGCGATGCGCTTCATGCCACCCGGAACGCCCACCCACTGGAAGGGTATCCGGATGGCTGATCGATACGCCCCTGTCTGTCCACAAAGTTTGCCCGACATTCGGAACGAGAGCGTCGCGCTGAAGAAAATGCCAGCCGGCCGCCTTGAGTACCTCCGAAGACTGCTTCCCTACCTTCAAAAGCAGAGCGAAGACTGTCTTTACCTTAACATCTACACGCCGGCTATCGGTAAGTTCCATATGCGTCGCGCAGATAAGTCAATTGTCGTCCTCTTTCTCCTTACGATCGTTGGATATTTCAATCGTCGAAGAGACTGAGGGAGTGAGAGGAGTTACTCCTAAGGAACGGTTCCCCCACCGAGGGGGTTTCGGACTCGAAAGCGTCTCGACTCCCCTCTCCTACTTCTCGGGTTCGACAAATATGGCGGCATACGCGGTGGCTAATTCATTTCCCCGTTCCCTGACGATGCTCTGAATTGCGCGGGGGAACTCGAGCCGCCTTCAACCGGCGAACTTCAGCGGGAGCTTGGGGTCCACCGAGCCAACCCGAACACTGGACTGAAGGGACCGAATTAGCTCCTGTCGAAACTTCCGATCCGTCAAGGCGGTGAAATGTTCTCTCTCGATCCGCCGACGATTAGCTCTCGATTTCGGAGCCCTGCTCGTTCAGTCACGTTCGTGATAATTTCTATACGGATCGTGTGGTCTCTATTCGATCTGCTCGAGCAGGTGTCGCCGCTCTGTCATGACTCCCGTTTCGCTATCATATCCTGGACATGATCTTCAATTTGTGAGGAGCAATGCGCTCCTGATTGGGCTCTGACACGGACGATTTCGAGAACTGCGGAAAAACTTCATTTATTCCGCACACATGTCCGTACCAATTATACGATCACGGGAGAACAGTCCGCCGTCTCCCCGACTCCTCCGCCTTCCCTACTCGTTGTTTTTAAACGAGGTCTGTGTCCTCAATCCAGGTAGTCCGCCTCAGCGCGTTTACTGCAATCCTTAATCGCCGAGGGCCGATCTTCTACCAGACGAGGAGAACGGGAACAAAGGGAGATGTGATGACCGCGGCCGCTGTGACGAGTGGGGAACTCGATTAGTTTTAAACGAATTTCGACCCAGCCAGCCACAATTGGATTGGGCGAGCCGTTCCGAGAATCGTCTGTCTGAAACCACCGCTAGAAACACGAGAGTCCACGTTATCGCCCTTGAGCCGTGAAGCTCGTCGCTCTCTTCCCCTCGTCGGCCCTCGCGTTCGTCCGTAATGTGTTACGTGCCGAACAAACTCGAACACCCACACCTATGAGCGAGGTGTGGTGGTCGTCGTCGTCGTCGTCGTCTACGTCGCTCAGGGAGGGAGGACGGGCTTTCCATCGACAATGGACTTTTTGAGCAGAGGGAGTTTCCTCCGTCGACTCGACTAGCCTTGGGCGATCAAGAACAGTAACCCATGCGGCTGAGGTTTTGTCGATGTAATTGAACACTGGCAATTTCTCGGAGGGCAAAAAGGATCCTTGGATGAAGGTCGCCCGAGAGAATTCCCGAGGCTGATATCCGCGACGCTCGACTTCCCTCTAGCCTCGTGGATAATAATTAGAGTGGGTAGGTTCCCTCATACGACGTCCCCTCCACGTGGCTTCCATCTCAGGCTTCGAGGGTAACAAACCCAATATGTATCCAGATGTCAAAACAAGTTCGGCCCGCTGTCAGCGAAATCGCTCAAGCTGTTCGGTCACACCTCATTTTGTGCTTCGCCAGTCTGCGCCATTCGCTCAATCTTGAAATATCCAAAAATAGAAGGGCTCTCCGCAGGGAAAATGAGGCACTTTTACTTTGGAGAAAACTGATTCGTCTCCCGCGTCACACGGAGAGGTGCAGTTTGCGGATTCGTCGCTCGAGCTTTGGGTCCGATCGTCCCGACCTTCCGCAGGGGGGGGGGGGTTTCGGCGACAGCTCACTACGAGACTCACGCTCATAATATCGTTGTCGGCGATCGATGGAATTCCGCGCAACACTGTTCATCGATTTCCCCCTCGACGTATCGAGTGGACCGTCCTCCGAGAGAACTCGTTGTTCCTCCGGGATGCTCGCGATAGATTCGAACGAGACGGACAAACAAACGAGCGAGCGGCGAGATACAAAACAAGACATCATCATCCTGCGCTAGGAGAAGAAAAACGATCTTCGCACTTGGAGATCACATGCAATCTTCATCAGGATAGCTCCGGCGGTGGCCGACGAAGAAAACGGACGAATGAACACACGAAAGATAAACATGCGCATATCTGGCCGTTTGCTTTGTTGGTCGTCGGCAAGTTCGTCTTGAATGCCTTACAGCCGAGCGAGCAAGCGAGCGGGCAGAAACGAATGACTCGCGAGCTACATTCAGAATACGAACGCTGAGGCCCGATGGCGGTTCGTGACCTTTCTACAATGCAACACCGGATCCTGGACCCTGGTTCGGGAGCGGTCTCCTCTACTCTTCCAGAGAAGAAGTAAACGGGCTCCTTGTCACTCCAGGCCAACAGCTAGTTCGATGCTGTACAGAGTCACTCCGACAATCCCTATTAGCCGGTACAAGACCTGGTGACTTAGCACCTATTATTATACAGCTTCGCGGCACCGGAGCAGCAGTGCGTTACACCGTTGCAAAGCTTCTTGTTCTCGCCTGTTCTCGAGGTCTCGGATCGGGCGGGTTGCCTTGAGGCAAGCCTGGGAGCGGACATTCCACTTACAGAACAATCTCTCTCTGGAACGAGGGAGCTTGAAAAACTACGACAGCCTGTTCCATCGCTCTGCATCAGGACAGACACTGGTCTTGTCGTCGGTGCTGCTGCTGCTGCTCTTCCTCTTCGATGTGGATTCATGCGGTCCCTGGAGTGGGGGGGGGGGGGAGGTTAGCTCTTCGGATTCCATGTTTGCGACATTCCGCTACGGTAGCGGGGAATGCGATCGAATCTCTGCTCGCTCGGGTTATTAATTGGGCAAACTACGCGGGATGAAGCGATGAATTCCCCCGGCCCGGGTCAATGTTCAGAAATGTCTTTCACAGGCGTTCGAGGACGGAGCGAACATCGAACAATTGTGCTCGGATCCTCGACCGATTTTTATGAGCTCCCCACTCTCTGCGGATCCCGCGATGGCGCTGTCGATTTCGAGTTATTTTCCTATCGGAGGGCGCTAGCTCTGCGACGCTGAATACAGTAATTATTCTGATGGACAGGCACCCTCAAACGTCGACTTCAGCACTCTCCGAGTTCTCGCTCTCATGAGTCCGCGGAGTCGTGCGATTTTTCTTCAACTTGAGAAGTAGAGCTCCTCCCCGGAACTCGAACACGCTAGCTCACGGGGATGCGATTATAAATGGAATTTGAGTCGGCACTCGAAGGTGCCCGCCTTCTAGAGTGGAAACGGTATGTAGAACTCGAGAGAACTTGCGAGGATTTCCGAGAATTCTTCGCGCCCGATGATAGAGGCGGAAGCGAAATAACCCGTTCATGCATGTTTGCCTTATTGACCCTCTCCGATTCGGGGTCATGTCATGAATCTGGGCCGGAACCTCCATCGGCCGATGAGTGACTTCAGGAAAAAGAGGCCAGAAAAGAATTGATCAATCGATACCCGCTCCCGCGGCTCTCTCGATGCAAAGGTCCATCCGCCCCCTTTATACACCTCCGGGGCCCTTAAGAGCTCTAGTTCTCTGGAATAATAATCACCGTCAAGAGAGCAGGCGGGCCCGGAATACGTATCGAGCCGAATCGGAACGAATGAAGCCATCAGTTCAGGCTCGTGAGCTTGAACGATCAGCCCTTCATTCGAGTTGGCTTTCTCCGGGCATTGAAACGGAGCCCGCGATCGACATGAGACGATCGGTTCCTCGAGCGAGGTCCCAACGACTCGAGAAGCGACGAGCAATCGGAGCGGCAACATGAAGAGCAGCATCCTCTCTAGTAGAGCATCTTTATCCCTGGTTGGAGGTTCGGTTTTTATTTTCAGCATCCCGCTGAACATTTTTGGCAACATATCGCGTGTCAACGAATGTGGCACACGGACGCACAAGCCGGGATGAGCGACGCACTCGACTTTGTTGTTCTCGGCTTCTCTCCGGATACGTCCTTGGCAGTGCCTGGCACCCGGAGGGACAGGCGAATCCACGTTTAGAATACGACGACGACGACAACAACAACAGCGACGACCGGACGGACGGGCGAGCAGGCACGCGGGTCGGGAAAGAAGAAGAGAAGGCTTTAGTGTCACGCTCCGATGAGCCACCGCTACCGACGTAGGCGGCAGCGTCTCCCGAAAAACACCGGGGCTCTGATCCTCGTCCGGCACGAGCCTAAGGTTCTTCTTCGACGTTCTGAGTTTCTTGCCGGAGATGCAATCTCCATTTCCGAGCCCTTTTTTTATTTTTCCCGTAAGATCCCGTCTGTCGGCTCTACCCTCTCCCATTTCTCCTTCGAGAGGTTCCGGCGGTGGACTCGTCTGGGGTTGGAATGTTGCCGGAATCGGGTTGATTCCTCTCGTGTTTTCTTCCGCGAACAATAGGTGGCCGTGTTGTTTCGCGTGGATTGAAAGCGCGCGCCCACAAAATAGCGCCGAGTTAGGGCGAGAACGAGATCTGTATCTCGTGAAACGTCAAAACACTCGCTGCCGCCTGAAAAATGTTCTCGCGTGTTATGCCGTGATACGATCTTTCGGCTACGGTGCGCCGCTGGTCGTGCACATGGATTTGATATATTCATGATGGATATAGTGGCGTGGCGTTTATTCTTCACTCATCCTCCGTGAGCCATTACTTGCTCGCAGGCTTGCGCTGGAGTTCCAAGGTCACAATTCTCGCTCGAGGAACTGAAAAACATCGAAAACTAGTTGCGGCCGATAGCAGGTACGCCGACTCCGCCGAAGACGGCTCGACGAGTTGTTCTCGAACCTCCTCCGACTTCATTCGCCGCGCTATTTTCATTCCTCATCACTCGTCCCGAAAATCGTCGGGACCATCGGGGCATTACGATCTCCAGCTGGAGTACTTTCTGAGTAGGAGCTCGATTCGTTCCCTTGCCAAGAACACAATCCCGATGAGATTATGCAAAGAGGAGGGAACAAGCTCGATTACGCAACATACGCATTTTCGAGGGAGGCTGTTGACGGCTGGTTTCGAAAGCATCCACTAGAATTCTGAATTTCCTCCTCCATTCGATAGACGCGAGCTTTCCGCCCGTCTGGGTAAAACCAAAGGCGTTCGATCCCGATGTGCAGTTTTTGTTCACTGCCTACAACCATCGGAGCTCAGCGTTCCTGATGGAAACAAGACGAGCCTAGCGAAGGATCAGGGGAAACCACCGAAATGGATTGATGACCTATGATTCCATCTGTTTTTCTGCGATACGACGGAGTTTATCTGCCATCACCGGGAAAACACTCCTGACGGTTCCCAGCTACAATCAATATCGAAGTGGACTAACCAATTTATTTTTTCTTCTCGATTTCAGTCGGTCGCGAGCCGATTCGGCTACCTGTCATGGTTTTCATACACGGCGAATCGTACGAATGGAACTCCGGGAATCCGTACGACGGCAGCATACTCGCCAGCCATGGGAACGTCGTCGTTATTACCCTAAACTACCGATTGGGAATTTTCGGTGAGCTTTTTCACGGAAGATTCTTCCTTCAAGCGGCAGTCTAGAGTGGAATGCGCCTACATTGAGACGTCACTCGTTGTTGCTCCCTCCGGAGCAATAAGAATATTCCGGCCGCTCTGTTCGTGCATCGCGAGAGACCCTCTCCCGTGTTGCAAACTCTCTCGTGTCCCGCCGTCCGCAAGGCTCCATCGACGGATCGCAGTTGTTAGCGAGTGGGCAGCCGCCGAGGAACCGACAGCTGCGGCTAACGTCGGCGTGCCGTCGAAAATCCTATGGCCTATGGTCGCGAAAGCTTTCCGGAGGATAGACAGCGTAGATTCAGAATTATGAATATTTAGACATGGAGTGAGACGCACAGCTGTCCCAGTTCTGTGGCCGTCCACGTTGGACGCCGGAGCAGAGTTCCGAGCTGATATCGGTTCCCATTCATGCAGGATTCCTTCCTCCGATGGAGAACGGCCGGGGAGGGAACAACGGTCTCCTCGACGTCGTTGCAGCTTTGCATTGGGTCCAGGGAAATGTTGCAGAGTTCGGAGGAGATGCGAGGAATGTCACGGTTTTCGGCCATGGACACGGAGCCGCCCTAGTGAATCTGTTAATGCTCACCCCTATGGCGAGAGGTGAGAGCTCCGAGCACGACGGAAGCGACAACGCGTCGCTCATAGAATACCGTATTTTCGATGCAATGGAACTGAAGACAGGTATCCTGATGTCTCTCGAATTTAGGGCTGTTTCAACGGGGTATGATGATGTCCGGATCCGCGCTTAGTCCCTGGGCCATAGCGAGGGATTCGGTGAAGTACACTCGACGTGTCGCCAAGGAACTCGACTGTCCTGTCGAAGACAACCGGGCGCTTATCGAGTGCCTGAAGAATCGGTGAGTGAACGGAGACCTTGAACCTCGTTTGCGATACGTGCGGGCTCCTTGATTAAATCGTTACGTTTCGTGACTTAGGGCTGTGACGGATATTCTGCGAATCGACCTCTCACCGCCGGATCATCTGTCGGCGTTTGGACCCGTAGTCGACGGCATCGTCATACCGAAGGAACCTTCACTCCTGATGGAAGACCACGGGGCGTCTTTCTACAAAAACTACGAAATGCTCGCAGGCGTTGCAAGAGTGGAGGTGAGCTCGATGTACTTGCCGAGATGGTCTGCGGAAGAGCAAAAAAAAGCAAGGACGCTCTCGTGGACGGATGCAAACTTTGATACAAAATTCACCGGAATGTGCCTATTCGCCCCGCTACGGTCGAGGACTCCAGAGCTGAGGGTGCGTCCAGGCTTGAGGTCGAATGCGTTGAGTTTATGATGACGCTCCTCGGGTTCCTGCGGAGAACTATCCCGTCGGACTGGCGAATGGTCTCGTTCGTTCCGACGCGACGGGCCACTACGAATTCCCGCATTTCGATTCGGTTCTGCGCGCGGTCACTCTAAAATGTACCTACCCGATGAGCACCTCGTTTATCGATGAGGCTCGACTACGTTAGCGAATCGACGAACGAGGCAGGCACGGACCCCAAGTCCGGAGATGAGGGAACTACTGTGTGCAGGAGCCGTCGGGAGAATGATTCACTTCGCAAATCGCATCCACTCCCCGGGCGGAGCATTTATCTGGCGCTGAGATTGTGGTTCCAATACGGTCGGGCAGCGCCACGTCGTGTACCGAATCTCTGACGGATGCTCTCCCGTTGTAGGCCTACTTCTTCCTGGCGGCTGCTGAAGAGAAATACGGAATCGAGATCGACCGACGGGACCGCGTCTTGCGGACCCTCATCCGAAACCTCTACACTTTCCATCAACAAGAAATTCTGCTGACCGTGATCAACGAATACACCGACTGGACAAGAGCGTATCAGCATCCTCTGAGCGTTCTTGATGGTGAGCGCTAACTCCATACATGAGCACGATGTCATCCGTTCCATCCGATCCGCGGAGAGCTTTTGCCGCCGCGAAAGAAAGCGAGACATTGAGCCAGATCGAAAACTCACGTATGATCCCTCTCCGGTCGTGACAGGCACCGCGGAAGCTATCGGCGACGTCCTGGTTGTGGCTCCGCTTGTGAAGGCGGCGAATCTACACGCGAAGCTTTCTAAAAACACGTATTTCTACGTGTTCGGATATCAGACCGAATACGGCGATTATCCTAATCGAGTCGGCTGCATCCACGGCGAAGAGTTAGCTTATGTTTTTGGGGCGCCTCTGGTATCTCATTTGGGGCACTTTGCGAGAAACTTCAGCAAATCCGAGCAGGCGTTCGCCGAAGCTATTATGAGCTATTGGACAAACTTCGCGAGATTCGGGTGAGTGCTGCTGCCGTTCCGGGTGAAGTTTGTTCGATCGTAATCATGGGGCCGACGTCGGGATGTTTGTGAGCGGCCGGTCCGACGGTATGCGGGCGAGGCTCTGACGCAACTTTTTCCCTCTTCATGCAGAGATCCTAGCAATTCGATGCATGAGGCGAGTCTCAATGAGGCGCAGCCAACTCCCACTTCGGACCAGAGGAAAGGTCGCTTCGAGAGGACGGTATGGCCCCCGTACGACCTGGCGCACCAGAAGTACATGCACCTGGGCATGAAACCCAAGGTAAAGGATCACTATCATGCGCACAGGCTATCGTTATGGACGCATCTCATCCCCCAGCTACACAGGTGGGTCGATTGCTTCCATCCTGACGTTGATCGAGGAGGCGTGGTGAGGGGAGAAAAAAATCCCCGACGCTCTGTGACGGTCGAAAGTTCCGAGTGCTTGGCAAACTGAATCCTGCTTCGATACAGACCTGGTGGGACCGAAGTGGGTCCGTTGCATCATTTACTAGAGGACCACGACAATCCGCTGAGCTACGATGGACGCGTCGTCGTCGACCCACGAGTTATCGACGCGCCAGCTTCGGCGTCCACCCCATCCACGACGGATATCCTCCACCATAATTCGAGCGACAAACGAGTAAGTGTCTCCACGTGGACATGCACGGGCTTCTGTCGCCTCCCCCTTCCCCTGACCCCTCTGCATCGTCGCGTCGGCGCGCCTGACGGAGCGTGAGACTGAGCTATCGAATTCCTTCCGCAGGGTGACGAAGGAGGAGGCTCGGTCGCGGCTTCCGTTCCGGAAAATGCCAGTGCGGTGAATGGCTCCGGCCAACTAATTCCACCAAGCAATTACGACTCGATGTTGCTCCAATACGGCGGCTATTCAACAGCCCTCAGCGTCACCATTGCCGTCGGCTGTTCATTACTTATTTTGAACGTGCTTATTTTCGCCGGTGTCTACTACCAGAGAGACAAAACGAAGCTCGAAGCCAAGCTGCACAAGCGAAAGGCAGGTGGTGTGTGTTTTAGCAGGACTAGAGCAGGCCTTATTAATCTAGCCGAGCGTGTCTGCGTGAGTGCGTGCCGGCGTGCCTTCTCGTGAGAGTGTATCCGCTGGAAGTCTTAAGTGCTCTCCAGACCCCAGGCCGAAGGCCGAGCGGCTAGCCGCTCGGTCTCTTTCAAATCCTCTCAGCCCTTCCGCCACAGCACATATCCGCGCCTCTAGTTCAGTCAAGATAACCATTAGCACGGGAACAGTCACTCGGCAGAGCTTCATTTGTTCGGAGAGAAAGAGGTGGAAACGAAGCGGCAAGAACACTTTGTTTCCTCTCTGTTTGTTAGCTGGCTCAACGCAGGTGTTGACGGCCGAGCGCTGGCGGCAGGAACGCACTAGCGATGTGAATGGCTGATATTTGTTCTTGTTCGTAGGCGGCGAAGCAAGCCAGGAAACAGGAGAGTGGCATGAGGTCCGCCGCAAGCGGGTGCAGTTTGACCTCCGCGAGCAACTGTAGTCTCAGCAAGGAGCAACAAGAGATGATGGCCACGGCTCAGGCACTTCGGAATCCTCCGCCCACACCACCCGATCATGAGCCAGTCGTTCAACAAGTGCACACGGCAACTATAAATCCGCACCACGCGCACATCAGCAATCCACACCATCACGTCGCCGTGAAGCCTCTACCGCCGCAGGTTCGTTCCGCATTCGAGATCGAGCCGAAAACAGCGCAGAGGAGAAAAAAACTCTCGAGATCAAGCAGAATGGCGTAAGCGACGTCGATTCGCTGGCGGAGTTCCATTCGCAAGCGAGCCTCCATAATCAAGAGTTTGTATGGCCTGGAAACAGGTGGCGTTTTTCCAGGTGCCTAACTCCCAGCAAACGGTGTTCCGAGATCCCGGCTGTCAGACGGGGAATTCGCAGCCCGACGTCATGAGCCTTTCGAACTCGGCTGGACAGCCGATGCAGACTCTGCCACGTCAAACAAAACTCCCTTTCGATGAACACAACATGTTAGTGTTGTTTTTGGAATATTTCGCGCATAATGAGCTGATTGCCCGCGTCCATGAGCTCGCCTCTCCGAATTTCGTTATGATCGTTTTTTTCCTTTGCTCTCCTCTCGAGGGTTCAATTTTCCGGAGAAATGGGGCTCTGATCCGCTCTCGCTCATTTGAAATCAGCTTCTGCGAGGCTGGGAACAGAGCCCACTGTGGGGAATCTCGAGCGCAAGTATTGCGGCTTGAGGTTAACAAAAACGTGCGTTATTACAGAGGTACGCTTCCACGACTCTCTCGACCCCAGTCCACGGTCGACCCTCATCAAAATTCTCATCACATGATGACAATGGCTCCAAACGTCATTTTCACGCTGCCACAAAATCCACAGAAGGCCGAAACCGACTTAGACATCATAACGAATCTCAACCACTCGCAGCATTAGTTTTCGAGTTGCTTCTGTACCTTTTCTGTACAATGACCACCAATGCGAGACATGAAGAACAACCTCCCGAGCAATACAACACCCATTCGATTCAGGAATTCAATACAATTTTTGAGACATATTCGATCAATCCGACGGCGGCGGCGCCGAAATCTTATGGAAAGATGTTGATTCTCCGTCTCGTTTGCGAGCGAATGGAATGCTGTGTATATATTGTATAAAACACGGAGGAATAATGAGTGAATCCTGGGCGGGATCCCCGCAGAGAAGTCCGCCTGAGGTAACCTGAAAAGGTCCTTTGGGGCTCCTTTTCATGTCGTCCTGACCAATGGCCCGCCCGCCCAATTCTCGGTCTTTGGGGGAATTTTGGTTCCAACCACGAGCAGCGAACTGTGAAGGCTCTGACAGCCCCTTATTACAATGCAACGCTCCAATGAACAGAAGAAAGGCTCAATAGTTTGTTAGAGAAGCAGGGAGAGAGGAGGCGAGAGTTCGAAGGTTCAAGCAACAGTTGACAACCGTCTCCGAGGCGCAAGGAATAACCTGCTAATCTACCCCGCGCTCACGACATCGTGGCGTGCCGCGTCTAATTATTTCGATGCGCCCGGTCGCCATTTTCTGAGTGATTGTGGGCTGTGACATGAGTACGGCGAAGCTGGTTTCTACGTGTAAATACGTGTTGACTGAATATATGTAAAAAATATTAAGAATAAATAAATTTTTTTCAAGATCGATTTTTGTGTACGTCAGTGTTCCCCTCACCTTTCGTCCACCTCATGCTTCCTGCTCTGCCGCCCAATTGGTCTCGTGCCGCCACCAACCAAGGTCCGAAATACGAAATTTAGGACAGGTTCCAGCGGGACGCTGATGTTCGATGAAGGTACGAGATGACGGCATGCAATCAATGGTCCCGAGATGAGATATATCCTCCATTACTGAATGTCGTGTTCGCCTCTCTCCGGGCTGGAGGCGGAGCAGACAGGAGTTCGTCAGGGAAATGAATCGGAAAGGTAAAGGCAATCGCTCGGTACGAAGACAAGTCACGCACCGGTTTCAATGTTGCAGCAGCTGCTGCTCCAGTTTGAAAGAACTGATTGCTGCTCCGGAGCGAATGCTACGGGTCCTGCCCACAGCGGTCCTTCTGCAGTGTGTAAACATTTGACTTTCTTGAATGAGGAACTTGTCTCGAATGCCCTAGCGTCCTCTCAGCCTTTGGATTTCTCCTCTTCCAGCGCTGGCGTGGTTCGTTTTGTCGAACGACACATGATACGAGGCAGCTGATCGCAAGACCGTGACCGATACCTTCCGCAATTCCTTCCAAACCAGACCTGAATAACAAACACATAGAGTCTTCGTCGTCTCACGATCATCCCGGATAGTTTGTCGAGTCCGGTCCCTCCCAAGAGTCTGATGAGAAGCCAAATCGAGGCTGGCGAATTGAGGAGCTGGTCCCCAAGAACGTTGAGGGGCGAATAACCAGCTGGGGGAGGAGCTCAATGGGAGGGAAACGAGCAAAGAGCGAGTGACTTCTATCCGCGTAATATATATGGTATGACGGCGCGGTCGGCAGCGGCGGGGAGCCGACGTCGTTTTTGTTCGCTTGACCGAATGCAGTTCACTCACTCAGAGCTTATGAACAGAATAATGTCTGCCTGCTTCTAATGTCCAATTATGAGAGTGGTTAGCCAAGATCGTTCACGGAAGAGCAGCGGAGAGAATAACTTCTGTCCCCTCTTAACGTAAGCAGCGCAGGGAAGCTTCCAAGCTGAGTGTTTCCCATTTCAATTTGAGGCAGGCCACCTTCAAACAACCCACGGTTCCTATTAGGGTCTATACGAGAGGAATTATCAGAATAATTCATGAGCGGCGACCGATGGAATCGCAGACAAATGAGCAATGTGAGCTCTTGAAGCGAGCGCGCTAATTGCACCGCCATAAATGTGTTTACCGCATAATGAGGGAGCGATATCTGGCTGTATCCGATCTCCTCGATCGAGAGCCGGCCCGACGACTGCTCCTAATATCGCCGAAAAGGAATAGCTGATAAGATGCTCGGAGAAGTCTCTGATCTGATAATGCAGACAATTTACGCTTGATAGAAGACCCGTCGTCACTCGACTGTCCAAGACTGCCTACAGCGTCTCACGAGCAGCACCGACGATTCTTCGCCGTGAGCAAGGGTTAGTTGTCGCTGCTCCATGGTGGAATGTCCAAGCACTCAGGCTTTCGCCAAAATGCCCCGAGGCAGCAAACTGGCTGTGGCTGGGACGTCTGGACGCACGGACCGTCGAGCTGACGTGTGGACAAACGGTCGAGACCAGCAAGGTTCTAGGCTCTTTGCGACTAGCTAGCCGAGCATCGACACGGTCGGCAACAGTGCGCTTGTGCGGCACAGCGGATCTTGAGGAAACGGACCCCGATTTCTCCGTCGCCAATGGCGGATATCTCTCCTGATTCGATGTGTTCCCTCTCGAGCAGCTCTTCGGGGAGCAGCGGGAGTGCTCATGGTGACCATGTCGACAACGCGGCTCAGTCCAGCTGTTACCAAAAGTGACCAATTCTCGCTTAGGAGAAGGCGCGGAATGTTCTTGAACATGCTCCAGATAATCCGTCCAACATCGATTCTTCTCCCTTTCGTCGGCTCTACGAAGAGCTCGATGCCAGCACATTTCCTCCCCGAGAACGTTGATGTATGCAAAACAGGGCTCTCTCGCGATTTTCATGAAATACAGAGAAACGTTTGAGTCTTCTTTCGGCAGCGCTGCTTCCGCTTGGACCCCGCTCTGCGCGAAAGCACAGAGAGTCCTTATTGATCGCAGAACGACTCTAATCATCTTTATAGGCAGTTAAAGTTGATCCACCGTCCAGCTTCGCGTACAAGAGAAGCCAATGTGCGAGGATCGCCTTCGCACGCGACGAGCTCCCCTTCTTCTGCGAATTCGTCGACCCGTCCACCCTCTGGGCCGCTCGATCACTTGGCTCCTTTCGCAGGTTCGCCTTTTGCTCACGTAGCAAAGATGTGGGATGACTGCGACGGTATCTAGTCCATAAAACGCCAGAGCTCATAGAATATTTTGGTGGTGCTCTCTCCGTCGTTATCGGCACTAACGGTTGGAATAAAGGCACCCAGAACGGTCCGCTATGAAAAGCTTCCGACATGGCGTCGCCATAATGGCTGTAAACGTTGCCGCTCTCAGTGCGTTGACGAGTAAAAAGACGACAACGGTACATACGCGGGTCGCCCTATGGAGCAGATAACTGTCAGGTAGGTTTATCTCGCTCTGCCCGCTCTCTAGTCGCTACAGCATAGCCTGTACCTCGGCTTATGGGAAAAAAATCCGTTTCTACGACATGGCAAGCTATTCTATACATCGGAGGACTGGCATAGACTACGCGGGATAGAGGGAGAATCCGAAAGCAGTGCCTGGAGGGAGAAACAATCCTTCTGAGTCGTGGAAATAGGCGCTTCGATCGAATCGAGCCTCAGACTTGTGTTGTTTCCTAACGGGAGAATGGATTTCCTGAGCATACTTGTTCATCACCACCGGCTGGTAGTCTCGCCGTCGAATATCGACACGCCGATTTAGTTATTCTCGAATTCGATCCATTGCGTAGACGCATAACATCAGACTCGCCGAACTGAACGCCGATCCTCTCTAACGATGGGCTTTTTGAGGCTGACGTCGGTTCGTAATCGAAGGGAATAATCCCGCCTGCAGTATATCCATTTGTTTCCCCTTTCACCGGAAGGGATTACGCGTGACTTGCCTTCACGGCGAAATTACAAGCTCCACTGCCGAAGAGCCTCAAGCGATCTTTAAATCACTCTTACCGGTGGAAACTTGAGTGAAGTTCCGTGCAGAAACCTGATACACCGCTCTCTAGATTGGATAACCAACCTCCGAGCAGACTTCGCGTCGTTAGGGAGGCTGAACGTCACTTCAAATTAATGAGGAGGAGCTGAAGCGAAGGTGTTGTCGTCGCGAATGCACTAGCTTATGGAAATTCTAATGACAGTGCGTCGGGTAAGTTTTCTGTTCCCGTTAAGCGCTCGCACGCTCGGCAGCACAGCCGTTGGGTCGGCTGTTCACGTAACCGGCAGCATTAGGCCACTTCCGAGATCACATGTGCGTGGCGCTCTTGTACAAGGACAGCGTGTTAACGAGAACGATATATAGCCGAGCTCTTCTCGGATCGAGAGATCCGATGGTACCTATTACAAGAATGCATACACAAAATCGTGGTGTTAGCAAAACGAACTCAACACCCCGACAACTGACGGTGAATAAAACACGCTCGGATTTTTCTGCTGCTTTCCTGACTGCCGGATAATTCGTCAAGATCCGACCCGCTGACCGAGAACCCGCGGAGAACATGTTCAAAAAACTCGATGCAGCGAACATTGCCAGCGCTTCTTCTCGATCTATTCGCGACGCATTGTAGCTCGGGGACACGTGAGCTCACAGCGTACTTACGTCGGTCGTTTGTGTGTCTGCCAGCCAGCCACGACACAGGTCGGGAGTCTTAATTAAAAGAGGCTGCTGTTCCCGCTCCTATACCTTTATGTCGGTCGGGAGCTACGACGTCGAGCTCTTCCAGAACAACTCATGGCGGAAAAATTAATTCAGAGAAGCAGGCTTCCTATAACGCTTGGACTGAGATGGAAAACGACCCTTCGCGCAACTCCCAGGTAGTTTTCAATCTTGACGAAAGGTTTAACCAGCTTCGATCCTCAACTACCTAAGGGCAGAGGCATCGTTGGTGTAGATGGACGTCTCCTCTGTTTATCCCATCCACACGGCGCGTCGTCGATTAAATCAAAAAGGTAATATCCGCAACCATTCGACGATTCCGATGATCCGCGGGGTGGATCTCCGAAATTCTAAGTGATCACGAAGAAGAAACCTTCCCTTCTCTCGTTTCCTCGACTGTTCGCCACGTTGCCAGAATCGAAGCATTCCGAGTCCCACCCGGACGAAGGAGCTGCGAAAGAAGAATCC